AAATATATTTTACTTAGAAAATATATTGTTAAAATTAATATTTAAAATTTTATTAAAAAATTAGAGTTTAAAAAAATCAATGCAGGCAAATTTGCCTGTATTATAATTTAAGGGATAAGTCTTTTGAGGAGTTATATAGTACCCTAACAACTAAAAAATATAGACCTTCATATCAAGAAATAATGTTTCATTCACAATCTAAAAAAATAAAACAAAAAAACTAATCAAAGCATACAATGCCATTCTGTCCTTCTGCATTATGTGCTAAAAATATGAGAATTACTGTTACTTGTACAAAATATGATAAACTACGACTTCTGTTTAGTGCAAGAAAGATATTGGATAAGGATCATTAATTACTTTATCAATTTCTAGATACAATTCTATATACTTGTAAAATATCATTTAAAAATACCAACGAATTAACTTCGGCTATACTATTACCAGAATCCACAAATAGATGTCTCGACAATAATGATAATACTATATTATCTGAAATAGTAGAGTCTCCAATTGAATCTGAAAATGACAATAATGAAAAGAGTTCTGATCTTGAATAGTATATTGCTAAATCGGGTAAAGAGAATAATCAAAATGATCAGAATACCAATTGTGAAGTTGAATCTAAAAATCTTGACAATAGTAAAGATGTGATTAGTGATTCTATTCAGAAGCTTTTTGCTTATATTTTTGTGAATGATTCCTGAACATATGCTTCTTCTATTGAAAAACTGTATTACTTAGCAAAAATTTATCCTAATATTTGCTATAATTGTAGTACTACTAATATTGAAAGTGTAGAAAAAAATATATATCTGACATGTAACAACTATACTACAAATTTAAAAAGATGATATGAATAGAAGCCAACAAATAAAAGCAATAGTAGTAAAAGTCTTGTAACTAAATATTATAAGTTGAAAATATTAGTCATATATATGTAATAGCTAATGTATTTAAATATTGTATTACCCAATCAAATCATGTGATGTATGTTTTAGTATAATTTTTTGTAATAAAATTTGATCAATTCCTTACTGCGCCCAAAAATTAAAATTTTTTATCTTGGATCTGATGACCTGTCCTGTTATGAGAACCAATAATACAAATTTGTATAGCCTTATCTTGATAATACTAATATATTTTCTCAAACTTTTGATAATTATATTAAGCATTTATGAGAATTATTTACTAAAATTAAAAAAGCTAAATTAAAGCTTAATATAAAAAAATATAATTTCTGAATAAAATAATTATTTTTTCTTGAATATATAATAGAAAAAAAAATTTTTACTAGACTCAAACAAAATAACTACTATACAAACTATTTAATTATCTATTAGTATTATTTAATTTAGATCTTTCTTAGAACTTGCTAGATATTATAGAAGATTTATCTAAAATTTTTTTCTATTGCTTAATCTCTTAACTAGTTATTATACAAAGATAATATCTATAAATAAAGCTCTAATTATTAGAAAGCTTTTGATAAACTCAAGCAAAATTAGTAACTGCCCTATTCTAATATATCTTGATTACAAGAAAAAGTTTATACTAGTTACTGATACTTTCTATATTAGATTCAGAGCTACTTTAAATAAATTGCAAAAGATCAAAAAGAATATTCTATTGTATATGCTAATAAAAGCTTAAAAAAGAAAGATATAAACTATAAAGCTACTGAGTTAAAATATATTATTATAGTATAGACTATTGAATACTTTTATAAATATTTTAAAACTGATTATTTTACTTTAATTACTAACTTTATTGCTCTAAAATAATTAAAATTATCTTAATCTAAAAGATAATTAAATTGATAAATTATGAAGCTACAACTTTATAACTTTACTATTGTATATAAACTCAGATGAATTCATTCAAATATTAATATATTATTACAATTTGAGAACCAGACACATCTTATCTTTATTTCTATATATAAATTTAAACCACTATCAAAATTTAGTAAACTATTTAGAATTAATAAAATTTACTCTAACTTAATAAACTTTGAAAAATAAATACTTTTTAAATAATCAAAATTTTATTAACTTAAAAACAATTTATTATATAAAAAGAATTAAAAAGATCTAAATAAGTAATTAAATAGAATAAAGTAGAACCAGTTCTTTATATGATATATAGTTATCTAACTACTAGATACTTAGAAACTAATACTATGTATTATAAAATATCTGAGAGATATTATTGGAATCAAATATATAGAAATATACAAAATTATGTTTATTTATATAAGACTTATCAAAAAAAAAAAAGACAAAAAAAAGAATCTTTCTATCCTATTCAAGTTAAACAAGCTTTCAAATATATTAGTATAGATCTAGTAAGACCAGAGTTGTTAATAGCTTGAATAGCTTAGCTTAATTTTTAAAAACTGTGTCTCTAGCTTGAACTATAGCTATTAAAGTCACAGCTTGAGTTATAGTTTAAAAGCTATAGCTCAAATTGTAGCTTCAGTAACTATTATAACTGATATATAGCAATAAATATATAATATTTATATTTAATTAATGTCTATAATTAATATATAAAAATAGAACTATACATATAAAGATGCAAAAAGCATTTAATTGGTGATTCGCCAGTCACCTGGTACATGATCATAGTGTAACATAATGCAGATCACTATATAAATCACATATATCTGAATGTGATATTCGCCTAAGGAAAACTTTTTTCATACTAAGTTAATCACTCTTCTGTATTAAGTCAAAATTGTAGAGCTCGTCGAGACACATCTAACGGTGGTTAGATCATCCAAATCGGCCTAGCGGATAGCAAGATATCTTCGAAAAATGATTGGCCGACTATGTAAAATTTCTATATAAACAATAGTTTGTTTACATAGAATTTTACATAGTCGGCCAATAGTTTTTCGATGCTATCTCGCTATCGGCTGAGCCAATTTGGATGATATAACCA